ACATGTACGCGGCGCAGTGTCAGGGCCACCCCTATACAATACTAATCCTGAACAATGCTCACCAAGCCCTGGACGAAGCCTTGGCATATGCACCATTGCTCCTTAAAGGAACCATTCTGCTCAGGGCCTGAACCTACGAAAAGGTCTGCCTGGAGGTCCGTTGTAGTTATAGCCTACTTAGCAAATTTACCTACAAACCAACTCCAGTTGCCTTCCATATAGCTAGGTTCTAGCTCTATCATCCCCATTGACCCTTTGAACGGATTTATACAACAAGTACCACAAATCTCTAGGTAGAGCCAAGCCTACCAGTCGTTATGATAGCGGGATTCACGGCTTAAGATCGCAGCGTGTTAATTGAGCCCTGAGATACATGGGGGGCTTCCCAAAATTCAGGGTACCTTTAAAGGGGATATAGAGGTTATACAGGGGTAATATAGGTTTTAGGATTTCCAAATAAGGGTTTCGCAAAAATTGGGGGCGTCCTTTCTGTGGGTCCTTGCAATGAGGATGTTGATATTTTGGGGGGTCTATAGTGGGGTCCCCCTATTTTGGGAAATTACCATATAGCAGCTACAACGGGATTAAGGGCCTTACTACTGGAGACCCTTTTGGGACGCAAGCACGAAATCTCCAACCCCAGCTCATGATCCCAGGCGGTGTAGGGTTTAGGGTTTAAGGGGGTATGTTCCGAGTGGAAGACTCTCAGTTGCACAATATGGTCCTCCCTGCTAATAATGTTGATACTTCGAACTCCGTATGACCTGAATATACTAGAATACTATATGAGCCATAGTCTGAGTCTAAACTCCTGGTATCCCCTTAATACCCCCTGTAGTCTATAGTACTCCCCTATATAATCCCCTATATAACCCCCGTGAAGGCGTTTAGACTCTAGCTCATATCTCCCAAATTTAAGCCGGTTACATAGGGCGCTGAGATTTCTGAAAAGCGGGTGCTCTAGGGCAGCCTAAGGATATGTGGGCGATGTGGACTACAAAGCCTTTCGAGTTTTGGGTTGTAGGGCTTTAGGGTTTAGGGTTTTAGGTTAAGCCTTTTGGGATGAGGGTTTAGGGCACTCTAGGTGGAGGCTTCTGCACGGATCTGTCGGGACACTGCCATGCGGTGGGTTTAAATAATTTGTGGAAGATTGTAATGACCCCCCAAAAAGGTACCCTGATTTGTGTCTGAATCCATCAACAGATCAAGTGAAAAAGAAACCCTAGACCCTAAACCCTAAACTGTGGGCATCTTTGGGTTTATAGGGCTATTAGCGATGACCCCCCGCATCTAGAGCTGAAGAATCGCCAGTGCAAAGAATGCCGGGAGGGACCTACGAGCTTGAGAAAACGGTTTAGGGTTTAGGGTTTAAAGTTTAGGGTTCTCTGTCACATCGTACTTGGTCGGCTTTGAAACCCTCACATCCCTGAAACTGGAACAGCTCAGCAACATGGTTACTATAACATAATATGCTATACGGATATACCATTATACCTAGTGATATACCATACTTTAATATCATATACCATATCTTATTAAAAATAATATACCATAATATACTATGATATACCATATTTTACTGCAGTATACAATAATGCACAAGGGATCTAGCTTTAAAGCTGAGGACTTAGGGCCTAGGGTAAGCAAAACTGAGCCTGTCTGAAATACCACGGACCACCGACCAACCTTGTAAGGGTTACGATTCATCCAAGAAGCCTGGTAGTCTGCTGATCTATAGTCTCTCAATGTTAGGGTTTAGGGTTTAGGGTTTTAGGGTTTTGGGTTTTAGGGTTTCAGGTTTAGGGTTTCAGGTTCAGGGCTTAGGGTTTAGGATTTAAGGTTTAGGATCTAAGGTTTAGGGTTTAGGGTCCCCGCACACCAGAATAAACCTCAGTAGACGTCTCCCCATAAAACACGAACCCTGTTTTCAACAGACCAGCAGTCCTAGGACTTTCTTGTAGCCTACATTTTTGACAACACCCTCCCACTTCATGTGAACTCCTAGTATCCCCCTTCATAACCTATGTAACAGTCCCCTCAAAAATACCCTATACAACCCTCCATTAAAAAGTTTAGACCCTAAACCCTAAACCTTACATAACCCCCTTTAAGGAGTTTAGACTACAGCTCATATCCAAGTTCGGTACAGGCAGTGCGGAAGCGGTGGCAGCAGTGGCGGCAGTGGCAGCATCTCCAAGATTAGCATTTTGGGGCTTAGGGCTTGGGGATAAGGGTTCAGGGCTTAGGATTCAGGATTTAGGATCCAGGGTTTAGGATTTATGGCTCAGGATTTAGGGTTTAGGATGGATCTAGGGTTCAGGATTTAGGGTTGAGTGTAGGGTTTAGGGTTTCAGGTTCTGAGCTCCGAGCTTTAGGCTTGAGAAACGGAGGTGGGGGCTTCCTAAAATCAAGGGTGCCATTTTGGGGATCTCTAAAACAAGGACTATAGTAAGTATTTGAGGGTCTATAGTGGGTTCCCCCTACTGTAGGGAGCCCACCAGGTCCAGGTTGCTGCAACAAGGATAAGAACCAAAGAGACGGTGTTGAAAAGTTACCCTCCCCACAGAACGGACCCTACGAAGGTGAGTGTGTGCGAGACGGAAGTTATATGAGCAATTGTCTAAACTCCTGAAAGAGGGGTGATATAGGGGGTTATATATAATGTAGGGTTGAAGGTTTAGGGTGTAATCTCCAAACGCCTTAAAGGCAGGTGAAAAGGGGGGCTTTATAGGGCACTGCTATACGGGATATTACGGGGGATATCAGGAGTGTAGACCATGACTCATATGCAGGTTTGCCAAGAGTTCTCCTTTTGAGGGGTATCCTAAGTACTATCCTAGCGACCCAACGAAGAACCATGACTTTGGCAACCTAGGGTTTAGGGCTTAGGGTTTAGGGTTTGGGGTTTCCATCTTAGTTTGGGGGAGAGCCTCGTTTGGGGACAGGTACAGGCACTTGCGCTTCGTTTGGGGCTATGTGAGTCATAATCTAAACTCTTAAAGGGGGTTATATTGAGGATTATATGGGGAATATTATAGGTGTTGTTGCGGGGAATACCAGGAGTATAGAGAATGGCTCATCTAGGTTTTAGATCAGAAGATGATCAGAAGTCTTGTGAAGCGCTGGAGCCCTACATGCCACACCCTTGCCCATTCAATCTAAGCCTTCAACCCGAAACTCGACATAGCAGACTTCACACACGTCTTGAAGCTGCAACCCCAAACTCCAGGGCCCAAACCCCAAACCGGAACCAAGAAGCCAAACATCCTCCACTAGGGTAACAGCCAGTGCTGACAGCAACCTCCGCCTCTCTCAAAAAATACCACCAACAGAACAACGATGAGAAATCAACAAACGAGTAAAAGTATGAGAAAACCATATCCAAGCCTGATGTTGAAACAGATCCCAAGCTGGCTCGGAATATCCCAGTCATGCTACGTTTGATTGTCTGTGCTTCATCACTGACTGCGTCGAAACAACATTCCGGAGTACATTGAAGGTGTTACAGACGCCCTCCTTGCAAGACTCCTGAACTTCTAGGGTTTAGGGCTTAGGACTTGCAAGTTCCAAAATATCATAGCTCTAGGCCGTAGAGACCAGTGCCAACCCGCTCCATGTACGGTCGTTTACTGCATCGTCCCCCCAATGGGAAACCCATTGATTGACGCATAGTCATAGACTCACAATTTTGATAGCGAACTCTCTACAGACTTCCCAAGCCATAGTCATGCTGAGGCCTAAACCCTCATCGCCTCGCCCGGAAATCTAAACCTTCATCCCTCATCGCCAAACTGTAAGACCTAAACCGTTATCCCTATACCCTAAACCCTTATCCCTAAATCCTAGGCCTTAAACTCTTACCCACAAACCTCAAACCCTTATCCCTAAATTCCAAAACCCTTGTCCCTAAACCCTGAACCCTAAACCTAAACCCTTGTGCCTAAACCCTATAAACCCTAAACCCTAAACCCGATAAACCCTAAACCATTACACCCAAAACCATAAACCCTAAACCCTCACCCTACACTTCACATCAAAAATCAGTCCCTAAACCCTAAACCCCTACACCTGCAAGGCGAACCTGCCAGCAACGGCGCTTCCAAGTCGCCCACGCTTATGCTTGCCATCCCATGCACACTTTACGGGTTTAGGGTTAAAGGTTTTGGGGTTAAAGGATTGGGGTTGAAGGTTTGGGGTTTAAGGTTTGGGGTTTAGGTTTGGGGTTTGGGGGTTTAGGGTTTAGTGGTACTTCATACTACAATTAGGTTCTCGGAGAAAGATTAAGGTTTTGGGCTACAAGTAAGGGATAAGCTCTGGGGTCAACGCAAGAGGGGTTGAGCACTCAAACTTCAGAAGCAGTAGGCGAACCTGCAGGTAACATGCTTCACACTCAGGCTTCATCTTTTGGGATGCCTACGTTGGATAATCTGATCAGCAGGCACATAGTGTAGGAAGCAGTCACTACATACCAATGGTCTTAATATATGCAATGATCTCAGTTTCACCAATAGGCAAACAAAGGTTCAATGATGCGCATTTCTGGGGTCAAGACAACAACAATTGCATGCATGTTCCAACACACAGAACCGCTGCGCGGTGTGATTTTGTATGATCGTGTTCATGCACGATCACAAACAGAACGTGGCTTTGAGAATGATGCTTGCTCTCCTGACAAGCGAATAATATTGTTGATCCTTTCGCAATCATTTCCCTATGATTGCATCAAACCATTCGCATAGCTCTGCAACTCCAGCATTGGACCCTCTGTGCGTCTTGGCCTGGGTTGCACCGCCTATAAACAACCTGCTTCCTGGTGAACCCCAGGGCTTTGGAGTGATACACAGACGTTTTGGGGTTGGATGGAATTAGGACCATGTTTAAGATCAGCTACCGTGACAACCGGAGCCGGAGCCTGCCTTGTGAGCTGCAGCACGCTGCATCCTTCTTCGGCTCCCAGCACGTGGCTTCCAGCATTTTACCGGCAGCTGGATCAGGGTGACCTACGCCCCAGAAGCAGAGATGTGAGCTTTGCTCAGAGATTCCAGCCAGCCCCCTGCTAGGAGATGGTTCACGATGACTGCCATGAACTGAGCGCGTGTTATTCCCTTATACAAAACGGATCGGCTTTCGATGTCACTCACGGAACAGTCTAGCCCAACCAGAATAACGGCAAGGAATTCCAGGCCGGCTGCTTTCTCCACTGAGTCCAGGATCACGCACTCCTCCGACCATCCCTGCCAAAACGATTCCGCCATGGACACGAGGCGCACCCGCCGATGCAGAGGGCTCCGGCGCAGGATTCTGTCAAGAGCTGGCCTGAGAGCCCTGGAAAACACCTCGTCACGTGTGAGCACGACAACACCGTGCTGCCGCCTGAATCTGCATGTTTTTTGCACAAACTCAAGAGCCTTCAACACGTGTACGGCATAGGCTGGGAAGCTCTCACGTTCGAAAATGAAAGTCTTCAGTGGAGGGCCATCTGCGCCTGTAAATTGGACTGCTGGCTCCATGTCTGAAGCCAATCGGAACCCCGCACCTCCTGCAAGAAGTCTTCTGGTGCCGCGCAACACCTCCGTCAGCATCACCCGCTGCACCTCAGGAGTGTCTCAAAGTGTAACAAACTCATAAATCATCAGCCTAAGGGAGACCACCAGAACCGTGAAAAAGTCTCTGCACATCCCTAGATCTCTAGGGTACGAGCCTCGGGAAAAGACTGGTTTAGCCAGGATGAAGTGACACTGTCTGACAGCAGCAGCTTGCGGGCCGACGCAACGGCCTGCCACAGCTCCCCCTCTGCCTCTGGGTGGAAAGTCTCCTGGGCCTGATCGAAGATGACCAGCTCGAAAAAAGTCTCTTTGGGAACGAATGCCACCTCTGCAAAAGTGACCTGGTCCTCTTGCACGTGCGGCTGCAAAAGGGTTGTGTAAGGTCGATGCAGCAGCGGCATTCTCGCGATGACATCCTGCATGCGATGTTCTGACTGTTCTGACTCACCCAGTCGCCAGAGGCGGGATGCAAGCCGCTGCACGAAGTGGTAGCCCATCTCAACAGAAGGTGAGATGTAGAGGACCCTGGAAGAAGAGTCCGATGTTAGCGCATCCTGCGCATATTGGAGAGCAATAAAAGTTTTTCCCGAACCCGCCGGGCCTGAAAGGTGCACATCCCTGCCATGAATTTCTTGGATTTGTGCACGCTGGTGCGGAGTAAGCTCTGCCATGCTATGCATGCTCTGTTCATACAGCTCAACAAAACAATCCGTGTCCACCTGCAAGCCATACTCCTCATGTTGCTGCAATTGCCGATTTAGCTGGGTGTCGAACTCATCACAAAAAACCCTGCCCCGCAAATCTTGGAGCCCACGCACGTCTCTGATTCGGACGCGCACGCCAAGAGCCGGGGTCCCCCTCAACAGCCTGCAGGACTTCAGTTCCACCACATCTATCTTGTTGAGGCAAGTACTAATCATCTCCGATAGGTGGTCGCTACCTCGGCTGAAATTACTTCGTGCTGCTTTGGCCAGACTATGCAGGATGCAATTCAAACTCTCGATTCTTTCGCAAACGGTCGAGCGACACAAGGCCTAACACAAATACAAGATTGAGCAAGTACGAATACCTCCTTCAGTAACCACCATGCCTCCGAGCACTGTTCAGGAAGGTTTCGGGGAAACAACATTCTCAGAAGCGACCAAGGACCTGTGCACTGCGGGCTTCTGGGTAGTCTGGATAATTCAAGGTCCACTGAACGTACGAGTCTACATAGCATGTGCATCAAGCGATGCAACAAGCATTAAGTCATCTGCGGAAGACAAAGGTGCGTGTGCTTGCCTCCATGTAGTGTACACAACTGAAGAGCGTGTCAAAAATGGACCTGATGTCTGCAACACCTCTGGGCTTGCACAGCTGAACGACTCAGGTCCCCACCAATGCGGTCAAGCATGTTCTCCACCTCCAGGTTGGGGTGGCGAATGTTGTGTGTTGAGAATGTCTTCTCGGGATCTGAACATCGTACCTCCCACTGGTGCACGTCAACTTGTCTCAGGAGTTGGCACTGTCGCCAGGCTGCCCCATCCAGGGCATCCACTGTACAGCCAGTGGGGAATGTATGAGCCAACGTCAACTTCGTCATACTCCCAACCCATAAAATCAGCGGTGGCAATTTCGCATTTTTGCGAGGCGCCGCAACCCACACCATCCCAAAGATTCGCAGTTGGCAAATCCTCCATGTCCACTTTGCCTCTGCCAACTTGCCCCTCAAAGAACACGGCCTTCAAACGCTGCCCTCTTGCAACTGCTGCCTCCACATTCTGAAGCCACATGTGGTACCATTCACAGCCCCAGGCAGCTACACCCCCGCTCATCTGCCATTCTCTTTCGGCCTGCTGCCTAGCCTCCATTTTCTCCGTCTGACTTGCATTTCTGTGGATCAGCACAGCATTGGTGGCTCTGGCATATAACTCCTGCCGCCCTCTGTCCTCATCATCGAAATAATCGAAATATACAAGATAGCCCAAGGTCTGGAAGCTCCGCTCGCCATAGATACGCCTGCAATAGCATGACCTATCCGGACTCGCCGGGTCTGGGTGATGCCGACCAAGACCTGACATGAAGCAAAGAAAAGACGCTCAAAAAGGGCACTCACGTGACAGGGATTGGAAGGAGAGAACGCTTGGGGCGTCCGAGTCAGCAGGCGCATACAGCGACTTGGGAGCAATGTTCAATGTCACTTAGCATGGACTTTCATCCAAGTCAACAAGAAAACGAAAGCTGTGTGAGAAGTGCTCACTGACTGCAATCAATCAATGCAACGTGAATAAGTGTTGACCCCAAGGAGAAACAAGGCAATAGACACGATCGGGTGCACATAGGACTTACTTGCTACCTTGGAGTGACGCGCTTTAGGCTGACAGCCGGAGAACAAACGAAAGAGCCAGCGCTCTGTGCAACTAAGGACCAGACCGTCCGCTGCAGAGGTGTGGAAGACACAAGCGACGGAGTCACCATGATGCAGTCCTATCAAATTATCAAACGCGTCTTTGTGTTTGCCCGGAAATGAAAACCAGCAAACATCCGCTTCGGGCTTGATGCTTCCATGATGACTGATGTTAGGCGCGGCAAGCAAGGCTGGCCGTTCCTTGAAGGTGCAGTACAGCATCCCCTCTCGGGGTTCACTGCTTCTGCCCCTGAGCTGTAGTCCTCCTGGCTGTACATTGGGAGACTCCGCCAAAGGGTTGAACTTGAGCTCGTAGATGGAGGCAGGCTTGGCGTTGTCTGTGGTGTCCCACACACGGGATTCTTGTATCTCTAGCGCAAGCTCGGCATCGTCATCTGGTTCTGCCTCAGTGGTCCACTGTATATCAAACATGTCATCATCACGGCCTTGCACGTCATCAACTGTACCGGTTCTCTCCTCTGCTGCTTCGACCGGCTTGCTGTGCACGCTTAGGATAGCCTCTTCAGCCTGCCTCTGGATATGAACAGCAGCTGCGGAAGCAAACTGGGGAGCTACATCCCGCACTGAAAGTGCTTCTTGCCGGAACCTCACAACATCCAGAAACTCGAGGAATCCACCCTGGATGTGCTCATTGACAACCATGGCTAAGAGCTGTGCTCTTGTTAAGGCCCTGTAAAGCCGCACACGGGTCTTGAAATCAACAGATTCGTCTGCAATCGGCGCATCGAGACCAATACAGATCACGATCAGATTCTCCAGGCCATCTACGTTCTCCACACAGTCGAGCACCATGTGCTCTTCTGCATGCGAGTGCATGCTCCACAAGCGAACTTGACGCAGAGATTCTTCAAAAGAAATCAGATGCATGGACCTATGCGGAAGCTCTTTGCGCAACGCAGATGTCAGTAGTGGCTTCAGCTGGTTGCAAAATCCCTCGTTCGGAACCAGAAGAGCAAGGCGACGGTGGAGGCTGATGTCGGGATATGTTTGCACTGCGTGCCAGATGGCCGCTATCACATGACGAGTATAAGTCTCATACTTGTCATCAGCCTTCTCGAAAACAAATGTCTTCAGAGGTGGACCGTCACTCCCTAGAGAGCTAACCTTCTCACTCATGTCTTTGGTGACTCTGAAGGCCCTGGCACCGGACACGATGCCTCAGTCCCCTTAAAACCTCATCTTAACTGTTGCCCAGATACTGGGAAGCTGGGTTTACACACCACAGAACGCAAAAAGAGTTCCCAGCAAAATGCTAGATGCGTTTGGTGCTCCGGACAATCTCTGTCAGCTTATGGACTGGCATATCAGGAAAGCTCTGCCTCACTGATGATGACTGAGCCTCGTCTGTAAGGAGGAGGGTACGCGCGCAGTTCAGGTGGTCCAGAACGGACGTGTCCACACTCGGGCAGAAGATCTTATGGCCCTCATCAAAAACAGCCAGAGCAAAATGCTCTGCAAGATCATTTGTGTCTTTGACGACAATAAGACCATCTTTCAGGGCTATGTGTTTGCGGCAAGACTTGCTGTATGGATCATGTACGAAGACCATCCTGCATAGATACTGCTGGATCTTTTCGTTAATGAGCTTCGGCTCTAGCTGCTCCTCTCCAGCTGCCACCCGCACCGCCAGCCATTGCAGGAAGTGGTAGCCTAAGGCTCTCGTCGGTGACACATACAGAACCAAAGAGGAATCGTCGGAAGAAAGCACATCCATGGCATACTGGATTGCGACAAAAGTCTTGCCTGCACCTGCAGGCGCCGATAAGTGGACATGAGGCGTGTTGGCGGCTTTCAGGCTTGCGAGCTTGTCTTGCTGGTGTGGCGTCAGCTCCGTCAAGCTGAGGAGAGACTTCTCATATGATTCCAGGAAATCTGATTTGTGTATCCGAAGCTGCCAAGAAGGGTCCTTCTGCGAAAGTCTGTCGTTAAAGTCAAGCTCCAGCTGGCCACTGAGGACTCGATCTCTAAGCTTGTGATGTAACTGTATGTTGTCTTCACACTTGACGTCTATCTCCAGTGCTGACACTCCAGTCTGCAGCTCGGTCTGCCTACATGCTGTTGGCGTTGTGCCGGGAGCGCTATACGCCAGGGACTCTTTCAAGAAATCTTCGCCTTAGTGCTCACAGCTCTTATGCATCCCTAATGCCGTGTAGAAACACACAAGACTACGCGATTTCTGAGCGAACTGAAATCGAGCAAGCCAATTGGTTGCGTGTGTGCCTTTGTTGGATGCAAGCTGGTGGTCAAAGCCTCGTTCGAGAGGCGTGGCTGTCGCGCAAGCACATGTCTGAGGAAACTATGGGTCACAAAGCATCGCAAGAGTATGTCAAGAATGTGGCTTTGAGCGCTGTGCATGGTTCGACTGCTACATGTCGTCTTGAGTGTTTGTTTTGCCCATGCCAGTTTTCCGGAACGCACCCCCAGCCCCATCTAAGCCTGAAAAGGATCTTCTGAGAGAACCTTCATGCAGCGATCCATCCAGAAAGCTTGCGGTTAGCCTTCAAGGGGTCGACTGATGAGATTAGGTTCGCTGCTTGACGCAAGTTGCAAACGTAAAGTTAACATGGGGCTGCCATTCACCTACACACGTTTTGGGCAGGGATCCCCGTAGTAGCGCCCATGCAATCTTCATGAGATCCCCTCTGGTTGTCCCTTTCTTGCTCTCCTCTGTTCCCAACTACACTGTTCCCAACCAAACAAGGGGAAGTTAAGGAGCGGCAGCTGGGGCGCTGGCCCAGGCTCTCCAGCAAGTGCTGGATATTCAGATCTGGGTGTCGTATGCTCTTCGTGTCAAAGACACGTCCATCCACGAGGGAGACGACTTTCCACTCTAACCTATCTGCCTGGTCAGCCTTCGTATCAGACACTCGCTTCAGAGATTTAATCCGACATCTCTCCCACCGACAACTTTCTCCTTTTTCTGTCTTATGCATATCCTGGGCATCAACCTCGCAGCCAGCTGGAAACTCCGCGCGTAGGAATTGGACAACGTCGAGCTCATCGTAGTCCCACTTCCTCTCATCTGCCGTCGCGAGCTCACACTTCTGAGATCCACCGCACCCGACTCCATTCCAGAGTTCTGCTGTGGGCAGCTGCTTCATGCTAACTTTGCCATCACCAACTTGGCCTGGGAAGAAGACAGCCTTCAGTCGCTGCCCATTGGCGACGGCCTTCTCAAGATTCTGCAGCCAGGCCTGTTTGGTGAAAGCTGGAGTTCACAAATACTACTCTAACTTTTGTCTTTTAAACTGTTATTCGAATCGTCATGCAGCATTCTACTACCTTGCTTTAAAAGAAACTCGCACAAACCTCCGTGACACAGCTGAAGCATATACATTTTCTGAATCTGCTGCCTGGTACCACTTGCAACCCCAGTTTGCAACCTTTCCGTTTTCCTCCCAGAGTTGTTTAGCCTTCTGCTTTGCAACATTCCATTCTTCTGAGCTTGCATCCTCCGTAATAAAAGCTTGCTCTGGAAAATCTTCAGCTTCTTTTTGTGCCTTCTTCTTCTCCTCTGGCGTATATCCCTTCTTTAGTTTCTTCAACCACCCAAGAGATTCGAAGTCTCTGCTGCCATAAATTCGATGACAATAGCATTGCTTGGTTTTGCTTTCCGGATCGTCAGCATGCTGTCCAAGTCCTCAGCAGGAATATCACAATTCATGATGAGAAGCTCTTCTTGCACAGAACGCCTCCTACACGTGTCAGATCTACTTGCATGGGCACAGGCATTTGAAAAGCCTGCGGTGTGCCCTCCGCTCAACTTAGCAGTATGCCTTGGCTCCTACGAGCTGCACTACATGATGATAACTGGCAGAACATGGCTAAACATGATCCCTGCATCCAAGAATTTGTTTCAATTCGCCTAGGCCTGCCGAAAGGCGTTCACAGATACCAACAAGGACCCCCTGTTGCACTTCCTCCTACCTCCAAGGCACCCCAACCCGAATCTCCTTTTCGGGTGATATCCTGTTCACCCCACTTGCGTTTATCTCCTCCTCCGTGACCTCCACCATCCGGAGTCGTCGGCAGGTGCTACCTCGCGCCTCCCGGAGAGGGCTTGCGAGCAAACCCACCTCTTCACTCTGCTGTGTTGCAACGTTTCTTGTTCTTTCTTGTTTCTCCAGCAAGCGCTTGGAGATGCTTCGTGCGAGACACCCAGGCCCGCAGTTCCAAGCCGACGCAGGCTGCGCCCAGCAGCCGCCCGGGCCAACACGGACGGCGCGGAGCAAATCACAATTAGCACCCCGTCTACATGCATTGCAAGCGCAGCCTATGCATGAGACTCCAACTGAGGCTGGAGCCATCCTTTTGGCTGTCCAGGAAAACGCATGCAACAGAGTCACCGTGGTGCTCCTTGATCAAGGCGTCCCAGCCAACTTTGTATTTCCCTGGAAAACTGAACCAACAAGCAGGCTCGCTGCCATCCTTGATGGTACCGGGATAGCTGATCTTGGCTGAAGAAATGATTGATGGCTGCTGCTTGACTGTGAAGTACAGCTTTCCCCATGGCAGACTTCTGTCCTGACACACGCGGGTTGCTTCGAGTTCATGGGAGAGGGCCCTGCGCTGAAGAACTTGAGACCTTCTTGTCACCTAACCGCACTTGGGAGTACTGGCAGCTGCCGTGTGAGGTCATTTTGCATCCCCGTATTCCCGGGTGCAAGGAGCTTAAAAAAATGCACGTTCCCCTCTCCAGCTGGATCCACTGGACAATACTTGAGACACCAACAAGATGCCTCCCTCGTAATCCAAAGCAAGTGCATTATCTGTCGTTAGCTCCAGGACACCTCGTACCCTCAGACGGGACAGCTGCATTTAGAAGCTCTGCAAAAAGAGTGAATACTGCAAAAGAATTGGAGGAGTGCAGAATCTGACCCACATCCACTACCTGATTTACTTTCGGTGGACGGCGGGCATTTTACATGTACACTGTCGCACACAGCATGCTAAGGTTGGGAATAAGCGGCGTTAAAAGAGCAAAGATTGTCAATGCTAGACTATGTTTTGACCTTTGGTTTCGCAGGGCAACTCACAGGCAGCATTATGCAGCATTACTTGGGCTGCTCGAATGGATTTGGAAATCAACGTCTGCTTTTGCTTGTGGCCGCCAAAAAAAAGGCTCGCCACTGCACTGGATGACTTACGCGCTTCAAGCTGCAAACACCCCTGCACGGTTTAGGGTTTAGGGTTTAGGGTCGACTCTGCCTTGGTCGAGCCGCGTCTCTTCACCGCCTCACCAGCTTTTTGCAACTCGGGCCTGGCTGGGAGGTCTAGGGCTTAGGGTTTGGGGTTTGGGGGGTTTAGGGTTTGGGGTGTAGGGTTTGGGGGGCTTGGTGCCCAGGGCTTTGTGGAATTGCAAGGGGTCAGGAGATTCCAGTGTGTTTTTTAGGTTCAAGCAGTCTTAGACCTTGCATCTTGAGAGGATAGCCAAGCTCAAGACCTCAGACCACTAACATCCTCACAAGGACTCAAGGTGCACAGGTTCAACCCCGGCAGAACTCTCAAAAACAAAACCAAAAGCCCGCACCTCAACCCCTAACTTCCTAATCCCCTATTCCCTTCAAGCATCGACCCAGGAATCTTGGCCCCCAGACCTTGGAGCTCTTAACTACAAGCCCTATGGTTTAGGGTTTAGGGGTTTAGGGGTCTAAGGGTCTAGGGGTCTAGGGGTCTAGGAGTTTAGGGGTTTAGGGTTTAGGGGTTTTGTGTAGGGGTGTTTAGGGGTTTAGGGTTTATGCCCTGCATAAGTCCTACTGAGTCCGAGCCAAACCATAATGATTCCTAGGATGTCTGGGCTGCCGGGTCACACAGGATAAAGCCCTCCGGACCCCTGAACCTCGAAAGCATCCTAGAGACAAACACCTATCACCCGGGCCACAAACCCTTTATTTCGCACCGCACAAAGCAACCATGTTTCGATATCAATGTGACTTAGGTGAACCCGAATCTCCAACCCGGTCACACGCTGAGCTTCGGGGTGTGCTGGCCTTCGGCCTTCTGCAGCCGGCCCTGGATCATTCGCAGCTGAATCCAACCTAAGCTTTGCCAGGTTTACTCCCCTTTATAGTGCCGGCATGACTCCTCCGCTGCCAGCAAAAAGTTTGAGGTCTATTCGGGTTCAGCGGCTCGGGGTTTGAAGGCTGAGCGTTTCGACTTCGGGGCTCAGAAGTCCGACACAAGCCAGGATGAGGTTGACAGCTTCGCTGGTCATGCTCGGTGTTTCCCGGCTTGGCACTCTTTTTTGGTAGGGTTCCAGGGTCAGAGTTCCAGGCTCGGGGTGTCGTCAGTGTTGGGGGGGCGCGTCAATACTAGATTGCGGCCAGGGACCACCGATGCTGCACGCTGCGGCCCAATCCCGCCACGTGCGCAGAATCTTGAAACTTCCGTACATCATCGTAAACCCTCATGTGTCCTATGCCATAAGTCGCGCACCCTTAATCCTGAACCGCCGACCCTTACAGCTTAAATTTCAGCTTTTGTGGGAATACCATCATGGCCCGAGCTCTGAACGAAAGATCCGCAGGAGCTTCCGCCGAGCTAGCCACCTGGCGAATGTACAAGCCGTGAGCACTGGGGACTGAAACAATTTCGATGTTCCCTGGGAATCTGTAGGGATAATGGAACAGAAGATGGAAACGACTCGGTCATAATATAGGGTTTCTAAAAAAACATTGCGCTTGTCTTACTCCTGGCATTCCTCTTACTGAACTTTAGAGTCTCGTTGGCTCCGGGTCACATTCTGGATTCACAGCGGGACCGTAGACCGAAGGCTGCCAAATCGGCCAGACCCCTAGGCCCAGAAGATTATCCCTTTCCTTACTAGCTGCAATGACCGTTGCTCCTTGCTCTTGCAATTGCCGCCATGATTGCAACAGAATATGCACGCTAAAATGTGAGATTCTTCGCAGCAACAACTACTCTACAGCTGCTTCCGTTTCATCACAGCCGAAAGCCTGAGACCCGGCGCCTGCCTCCTCCTTGGCTTCTGGTTGCGCCGAGGCCTGGAAGTGGCCACTGAACAATATAAATATATACATACATATATATATATACATATACATATTTACATATACATATAAATATATATATATACATAATTATATGTTTTCGACAGAAGCTTCTCCCAACACGGGGCACTGTTTTTGGGCTGCATGTACTGAGGATCCTATAATTTGGCGGATTGCAGGGGAAAAGGTTGGTCGGAACCCGCAGGATTCCTCCAGCGCAAGGAGTCAGCTCGGCAACACCCGCAGCTACTTTGAGTGCTTCTAACCTTGTGTTTTTCGCAAAACCTGCAACATCCATCCCAAATGACAAAGCCCTGAAATCTCAGCAGGAGCCCCGTGAGACGGTGCAACCCTCAACATACCTAATCTGACCCGTCTCGTGAACATCATGCTTGCCATCATCCATCAGCAACGCAAGCTTCAATCATCCGCACATGCCACGGTCAACTACAGTCCTCTGCGGCAGCAGTACTTGGCACTCCATCGCTGACCTTCCCAGCATGGTGAGGCGGCCAGAAGTAAGCCTTGCTGTGAGATTCTCCCGCCCTGAAGGCAGGATTTGGGATCAAAGGCTGCTCAGCAACGCAAAACCCCCTAGCAGCCCGAGCATTCCACATCCGAAAATGCACAGCAGCCCTAGGAGGGCAGCGGCTTCAACAAAACTGCTACAAGCCTCTTCCCTCGCCTTGCGGAGACTCTGCAGCAGCGCCCGGCAACTCAGCAGCCCGTCCCCTCAGGACCGAGGTTGACTTCATGGGATTCTTTGCAGAGAAAAGGCTGGGGTCTGTTGAGCATTCATGTTGGCAGGCTAGGACTGCATGCGTGGGGATACCCCAACCACAGGGAGGCCTGCCTACATCTAATGCGAGGCCATCTTGAGCGAAAACGGTTGTGGAAGGTCGCATCAGTTAAAAACTTGGCTTGCAGCAAGTCGACTGGTGAGAGTGGCGGGATCCAGGCCTCAGGGGCCTGTGGGCCGTCTCCAGGGGGCTTGGGGCC